TAGAGTTAACCAATTTCATTCTCTTGAAGCACATGAGCTTGCATGTATAAACATTCAGTCCCAGAATGACTGACTCAGAGTTTGGGGGTCTGTGTTTGACATTCACCACGTGCTTGGTGTAACAGTGCACGTGTGCTTCATGGAATAGAAACAAATCAGAATGTTCTCTTAGTGTACACTCATAGAAAAATGGTCTAATTTTTCCATTAGAAAATATGTAGTGATAGTCTCCTTGGACCAATGCCAGCGCTACAAGGATGACTTCAATGCAGAGTATGAAGAATACCAAAATTTATACTCCGAAGCTTATCAGGTAAAGAAGGATAAACCTGTGAAGACTCTGCTTCATCACAGCAGTCTTTTGGATCTCCTGGAGCTGCTCAGTGAGATGCAGGGATACTGTGGAATTGGCATTTATGCTCAGACACTGCTTTGGCTGGGTCTGATTTTTTCAAGACCTGGCCCATAAAACCCTGTTTGAGCTGTCTGAGAACAAACTTGAGTAGAGTGAGAGGTGTCCCAAGCAGAGTCTTAGAGCATATGCTCCTTCTGGTGCCTGTTGAGAGGCTCAATTGCAGATTTTGGGTGATGCTGGGAGTTGGGGATTTGTTTTTGCAAACCTTCCAGAAGAGTGGTGGCTCACAGAGAAGAAAATCTCAGGAGTCAAACTGAGTGCACTGTAGTGTTTTAGCAAAGTTTGCATTTTATGGTGGTAGTAAACATTCTTTGTGTTTTTTGGTTTTTTTCTTGAAGATGCTGCTTCATCAAATCCTAGCAGATTATCAGCAGATAAATCAGGTACATTTGACACTAGATCTGCAGGGCGTGTACTGCTGAGTCCAGCTCAAGGCTTTTTTAAAGCAAAGCATATCTTCTAAACTCTGCAGAAATATTTGCATGTCCTAATTTTCTTTTGATTTCTCCTTCATAGGGTAGCCCCAGCTATTTTGAAATGAAGAACAGCTGCCTGTACCTCCACAACAAGCTGTCAGATACTCAGAGCCGCATATCTGAATTTTACAAGTAGTAAGAGAAGTCCTGGCACCAGGCATCTGCTTCAGCCTGAAATATCTATGAACTCTGGATATTTATTTGTAACAGAAGATTAGTCTTAAAAACGAGATTCACTTAATAAATTATAAAAATAATTTAATATAAACAAAAGACAATTAGCAGACAAAAGAAATAAAGCAAAGGGTTAAAATGGCCGGGTGCCCTGGTGGGTTGCCAGGAACACCCCTGGTATCTCAGGAACACTCTTTTTATCCCATCCTTGCTGTGAGAGGTTAATGCATATTCAAGCATGTCCCCTCCCTGGTTCCACCTTCTTGGATCATGTTATTTTCTGCTGGTCAGCATAATTTTTGCTGGTCATCATTCTTCTAGCTGGTCAGCATTATTTTGGAGTTTGGTTTCCTTTTTGCTGCAGATGGTCACTTGTTGATAAGAGTCCAGGCCCCTCATCCTTCCCCTGAGGGCAGCTGGTCTTCGTATCTTCCGCTGATAACAGTTTGGGTTCTATTGTTCTGATAACAGCTTGGGCCCCAGTGTCCTTGCCCTCTGGGGTTTCCTTGCCTTGTACCTAGGAAATTCTTTTAAACTTAAGACTTGCTAGCATAGCTAAGAAGTATTTAATATATATATTCATCTGCGAAAGCCAATATCACAATACAAATTTATAACATTAGGCTTTTAGGATTTTTGAAATTAGTATTGAACAGTAGGTTGTGTTAGCACTGAGCAGTAGATTACTTCCTAAAAAGGTAGGATTAGTTCAAAGAATTTTACTAAGTTTAAGAAATTCAAAGATGATAGTATTGAACTTTAACAATAAAAAAAAATTCACTTTTCACAACTTCTCTCATTGTTACTTCTATCATATTGGAGTGGCTTTCTTCTGGACAATTATTTGCTTCAAGACATAGGTTTGTCCACTGAAATAAATTTATCAGGAGAGGGTTGAAACCCAGTACCTCTACTATGAAATTGCCCACATTTTAAGAAAATATTATAGCAAATGGAAATTCTTTATGATACATATAGGAGTGTTTTCAAACCTTTTTTGTTATACACACTCTTTGCTTTAAGTGGTAAGCGTTGGAGTTTGGACAACTGTCCTGGGTTGATTATGATGTTAAATTGTATCCCCATTCGTCCACCTAACCCAGACACAGGTTCTGTACTCTTAAAATTCCATCTGAGAGTAAAAGTGAGTGGAAAAGAAGCACCAAGTCTGTTATCAGACTGTACTTGCTCACCCTGCATCGGGAGTTTTGACTACAGCACAGACAGACAACAAGACACAGATCGCCTTGGCTTTCCAACTAGCCGGAGCAGAGAGGTCTTCCTGGACTGTTTTCTTTCCCTTTTTCTGAAACGAATCGAACCTGCTCTGGACTGGGGACTCGGGGGAGCACCGGGAGCTTGCACCCGTGGACTACCGGGAGCCCAGGCTGGGCAGCGGCATTTTCCAGCTCCAGAGGGACTGATAACAGAGCCAACACCCCCAGGAAAGAGACCCTCTGAAGTTTGTCATCTCAAGGGCGAGAGGTTTTGTAATTTGATATCATTCATTTTTGTGCTGGGTAGTGCTGTGCCTGTGAAATAAACAGGTTTTTTCCACTTCTCTCAGAGAAATCTTTTCCTGAACCGGTTGTGGGGTGGAAGAAAAGGGCCACGTGGGTTTGCTTCCCAGGGGGGGAGCCCCACTGGAGGTTTTCTCCCAAATTTGCCCTAAACCAGGACAACAACCCCCTCCCCGAATCACCTTGTTTTGGAGGTTACAGAGGAATGCATATGGGCTGCTGTAAGCTGTTGGCTGAAGCAGCTCCCAGGACTGGTTGGAGATCATGGCTTCACTTTATCAATGAGCCAAGGATTATCCAGATCTTTTGCAAGTGTTCTATAAAACACATAGAGAAGTGTTGGAGGCAAGGCTCTTCAATGGGTTTTAAAGAGAAATTGGGTTAAAATGTCCCTATGGAAACCGTGTCTCTTTTGTAGTTTTTCAAAAATAATCTGTTACAACCTGTCTTTTTAGAGAGACTCAGATGTTGATTCCTGCACAGACCTAAGGAGACTTTGAAGTCCAGTCCTTTTCCTAAGTTTCCTGCTGTTAGTTTATTCAGCTGACAGGGAAGAGGTGTGGCTACCAATACCATAACCTTTTTTGGGGAAGGATATGAAATTGACTGAGGGAGGACAATATTTGGAAACATTAAAAGGGGCTGTGAATGCATCTTTCTCTCTTGGAGACTATTTCACCAATTCCTCTATTGTCTGCATGCCAACGATGTTTAGCCCCCTGTATCTGAGACATCTTGGGGTGTTTTGTGATTGAACATCTGATCCATTGTTGCCTTTCTGTTCTTCATCAAGTGAAGTTCAAGAAAATGTCACCTCTTTAAACCGTGAGACTTGGGTCTTTTTTGTCTGTGACAGGGGCTGCTCCTACAGCTCGTCAGTGCAGCAGCACAAGGAACGGTGATGTGGGGAGCATGGGGTGAATTCTGCTGGGGTGCCTTCCCTTGGGCACTTGGGGACTGCTGCTGGTGGACGGAGCATGCAAGAGTGCTGCTGTTGAGAGTGTGGGCTGAGACAGAGGTTTTACAGGCACATCCTTATTCTGGGTCACATTTCACTCTTTCTCTAGACTGCCTTTAGGATGTGTAATACTTACACATACTTATTAGACCTGTGTGTTTCTGGCTGTCATTTCTGTCCACATCCCTAAAAAACCAAATGAGAAATAAAAACCACTCTACTCCAAACAGGAAAAAAAAAAAAAAAATTGCAACAGCCTTAAGTAGAAAAAGACCTTCTGAATTTCACAATTACAAAGACACCAATTCAGTAAATGATAGTTGCTGGAAAGCTGCTTTATAGACCTGTTAAAAATGATTGTATGAGCTCAGAAGGCTTGGTATAGCTTGGATCTAACTCTGCAAGTTTATAGCTGGGGAACAAAGTAGGAGCATCCCTGAAGACCAGAAGGCTGCTGGAAACTGCTGGGAGTGGGGCAGGGCACAGTGTCCTTGGCAGAGGAATGTGATGGAGGGTTGGCACCCTGCTGGCTTTCCCAGAAGCCTGTCACTACTCCTCTGTCCCATGCCTGCTCACAGCTGGGATAAGCCCTGGTGCAAAACAGATTTGAGCATCCCAGTTTGCAGTGCTTGTGAAGCTGCACCTGTACATGGGGTGGTCCCCACCTGCTGCAGGCGAGATTTTGGTGAAGGAAAGAGCAGAACTCATCAGGTTAATGAATAAAGAGATGCCCCAGTCTTTAGAAAGTCTTTGTGTGCCATGGCAGGGTTGATGACAGGGGTGCCACAACTACCCTGAAGAAGCTGTCCTGAAAAGGACTGCCCAGGGGCACAGGCACGTCCTCTGCCCTGCGAGTGATCTCAGCTCAGCAGCAGCCTACAGGTGACACGGAGAGAGAGACTAGAGAGCTGTATTGCATTCCACTGAGAAATAGCCTTTATTATAGCAGGGCCCTCATTGAAGGGAGCCAGTGACAGCACCTCCCTCAGCTGGGGGAAAAAAAAAAAAATCCGGGTGTTTATAGGGAAGGAGAGGGGTGGAGGAAACTTGGATACATGTATCAGGGTGGATTGATAGGGAGGGAAACCAATGGGGTGTAACAAATTAACATGTTCAACTCAAAGGCCTCTGGGAGTGATACTTTTTCACTTCATGAGATAAAAGTGTCACTCCTAGGGAGAAGCTCTCCAGGGGAGAGCCAGGCATTTGGGGTTGGCTGGTTCTTCGGCCTCCATGTTTGTATATGAACAAGTATCCTTGGCCTTCAAAAGGATGGACATGTCCTAGCCCAGGCTGGTCCAACTGATTTCTCTTATTAACTGTGTCTGGCTGATCATATAAAAGAAGGTAGGTAGTTGTTGACTGTGCATTTAGAGCCTGTAGCCAGTCCCCAAGTCTTTCTCTTTTTGAGCAAAGAAATAGTGAGAATTTAATGTCTTCAGCTTGGAGTTCCAGCAGCCTGCACAAGATGAAGATTGATAGAGTGATATTCTTGTAGGGCTCATTCATTGTTTTCAGTTGTCCTTGAAGGAGAGGCTGGGAGCAGAGCAGAACTGTGAAAAGGGATGGATATCAGTACTGAAGATTTGTGGGATTTTTCCCCACCACTTGACATAAACCTCCCTTTCCTTTCCAAACGTGAAAGCCATATATACAGACTAAGAATGGCTTCAAAATTTAATTAGATATATATTTCAAAATAGCCATTTTCTTAATAATAACACTAAATGCAAAATACATGCAGTAAAAACATTCTGTGAGTACATCACTTTGCTGGTAAATCAGAAGTACAGACCTGGAGAGGAGGAATAACTGCAAACCTTTTAAAAATAAAACTTCAGCAGAATTCACCCTTCTACCCCAAACCACCCTCTGTACTTGAGTGAAGTGTTGCTGCCTTAGGTGTTTGACTTCCCTGTCTTCAGCCTGAGGCTTCTGGGGCAGACACGGATTGGCTGCTATCTGTGTCTTCGTACTGACACTACTTTTTGCAGTGTTTTCTAAGAGACACTGTGGCCTTACAAAGACAGCAAATACTGTGTTACTTGCTCTCCAGCAGCAGAGCTTCCCCTAATACCACTGCAGTGAAATGGGCACAAACCATCCCTGGTAACCCTCCATGGCTACCATGCCACAACCCTGGAAACAGGACACCATCTACAGCAAAGTTAGTGCCAATGCTCTGCATGAAATCTAATTATCCACTTGTTCATCCCTTCCCACAGTAAATTTCTTGCAGTTCTGCATTTGCCATAAGATGGCAAAAACTTCACTAGACAAGCTTTTAGGAAAAAGATGAGCAGACTCCCACAGGTTTACCGTAGTGTCATGGAGGATGGGATAAGAGTTTTAATGGCATCCTTGTTGCCTCTTGTTTTCAGAACCACTGGAAAAGTCTGACAGGGCTGTAGGGGGGCTACATGTCCTTACCTATAAAAAGGTAACCCCAGAGGGCCTGGGTGGGGAACTCACAATACTCTGGGCCTTTGGCTAGATCAATACTGGATCCAACACTGGTGATCCTCTCCTATGGGATCTCTTCTTCCTTTTTCTCTTTCTTCCCTCTTTCTTCAATGCCTCATAAAGCAAAGCCTTCCTCCCAAATTCTCCCTGAACACACTCTGGCTTTTGGGACACTGCCTGCAGTTTCCAGCACTGCTCAGTGCTGCTGTTGTGGCTCAGTGGGTGCTCAGTCGATGAGCTGAGTGTCCAAGGTGAGGCTGGGGATCTGACCAACCTGGTCTAGTGGAAGGTGTCTCTTCCCCTGGCAAGAGTGTTGGGACAAGAGGATCTTTATGTCCCTTGCAACCCAAGCCATGGCTCTACCCAAACCAGTATGGCTCTGTGACTGTAATAAGCTACAAAAAGTATCTCCAGTATAACACTCAAGTATGCTAATACATATCCATAAGTATAGGCATTATACATATATTACATATGAGACAGATTAGAGATTTTTTTTTTTAATTTTATATCAAAATTTTACATATTCAGTCTAAAAAATGCATAGTTTAGTCTAGTTTTTCTAGAAGAAAAACATACAAGTGTTTCAGGATATGCCTAATAAAATAGTTGTCCTTTTTTCTAACTTTTATTTTTTTCTAACTTTCTAACTTTTTTCTAACTTTTTATTTTCTATTTCCTGGGGTTTTTTTTCAAATCAAACACACCGTGGCCTAAAGACAATAACAACACTTTTCTGCCCATTATGTGGAATACCTTACTAGTGCAGACAGCTTTTTTTTTTTTTTTTTTTTGTCTCTAGAAAGCTTAGTGCTAGTTTGGGACAAGAACACACATATATAGGACAACAAGAATTAGGGGTGTAAGCCGTTATTCAAAAAAATATTTTCTAAAAGTTAATTTTGAGAGTTAGCTCTAGTGAAGGACTCAAGAGTTGCATCTCTACTTAAACTTAAGCCTAAAGATATAATTTCAAATGCTATAGGTTCTGCCTAAGGGCATACAAATTCACCACTGACCTCTTTCTTTGATCCCAGTGCTGCCAGTGCTAGGGGAGTTTGGGAGGTGTTGGAACCAGTGGAAGCGTTCCAGAAAGATTTTATTTTTTCAAAACCACATCCTTAAATAAGTTTTTATTTTTCAAATTGGTTCCTGATTTTTACTTTCTACCACAGTATCATGTGGGGGGTTTATATCATAGCAGTTCTTACTTTATGCCATACACAGTTATAAACACCTAACTCCTGACTATCTGTGCTGGATGCATCACAGCCTCCAGTAAAACCAGCTAAGAATAGCAACTCACAAAACATCATTATCTACTTTCAGACATGTTTCTAAATGCTAAAAGTACCAGGTTTAAAAATAATTTTAAGATGCATACATTTCTACATAAAATCATCTTAGAGAATGAAAATAAGAATTTATAGCAAGATTTCTTTCTAAAATTAAAATTTATCAGATTATCTATGTCTACAAGTACAGCACATCTGCACCTGATAGAGGCAGCATTATGCAGATACCCAGTAAAAGGGAAATGTAGTTTATTGTCTGAATAGTAGTAAGCATTAATCTCTGAATAAATAATAAACATCTCTATACTGCCTGACTTCTCTGTATAAAACCTGTGCCTATCACTGTCTCAAATGCATACTAGCAAAGTATTTCTCTGGTTTTCATATAAACCATTTTTATTTCCATTAAGCCTATTTTTAAATATCTATAAAACAGTTAAAGAAAATTAAAACCAGTAGTTATTTATGTGTTGTATATACACAAATCATTGGCAACAGACTAACTCCTAGTAAAGAAACTGGGAAAGCTTCTAAAATATTGAAAATGCAGGACTACAGGAAGCTTAGACTGACATTCACAGAACTTTTGTGTCACTTTTGCACAGGATGTCAATGTGAAGTATTTAATCCCCACTTTCGGTAATTGAGCTGGCTTCTGGTAGAAACATCCAAGGATGCTATCAAATGTCTAGCCAAGCTGTAGTTTAGCTGTATGTACAAATTTTGCTATGACTTCAAGCTTCAAAAAGCTTAGTTTTATTCATATCTATCCAGTAATTTAATTTTTGCTTAAATTTTTGATAACTATATAGTGATAAAAACTACTCTTTCCACGTGTAAGTTCCATCACTATTACTTTCCTACAGTGTTTTTTTTGTTTAATAATTTCAGTTTTCTTTCATGATCTTGAAAAAGCAATGTAATGCTCTATATTTTAGACTCCCTATATGCAAGACATAGGTAAGTCTATTCATCTTTCAAAGAACTTCAGGATCTGCAGATGCAAATATTTTTTTTTAAAAATCAATCATTCTTGCATAAAAATAACCTTCAAATTTTGAGTCTCCAGCAGCCAGGTGAGTCATAAACTCTTTTTTTATGTGTGTGTATACAAAAATAGGGAAGGAAACATCCTCTCAAGCTCTGCAATGTATCACCACAAAAATAAAAAAAATCTCTATGACTCTAGAATGGAATTTGAAAAGAACAATTTACCTATAAAACTATATTGACAAATATAACAATTTTTATACCTTATTTAAAAAAAACAAAACAAAATCATCTCCAGCAATTTGTCTTTCTTTCTTCTTCTCACAAGTGCAGTTTCCAGGTACATTTGATGTGGCAGAAATGCCACAGTCTCAGGCTACATACCAAATTACAAAGGCAGATGAAAAAGCAGAATTGGAAGTACAAGAGTGATGATGAGGAATTTAGTTCCTTCATTAGATTTTGCTTCTAGAAGAGCACCTATGCTCAGGTACAGGCTGGGTTCATTTTAGCATTAGCACATACTGTGTACACACAAGTAAGCAGCATGACAAATTTTGGTCAAGAAAATGCTAAATAGCATCTGCATGGATCATGCCAGTCATAATATTCTGGGATTTACTCTTGTATCTCAGAAAGGATCCACAGCTATGTTCATCTCATGTGGTGTAACTTACGAGAACATGATGGTAACTAAGATTGAACTGAGTCGCCGCTGGGGAGGTTTGAGCTCAAAGCTCCACCACAAAAGTCAGTATCTCAGGCAGCACTAGCAAATCTGTGAGGGTCATCTCTTCCATGACCAGCACATCTAAGATTTTTGTTGCCAGGTATTGTGGAGACCTATGATTACAAGACACACTTTTCCCAAAAAAGTCACTTCTGCTAGTGAGTTTTTTTGCTCAAACCCCATGAAAGGCTGTTGACCGCTCTGCCTTTCTTCCCTGTCCATGAGACATGCTCTATTTCCCTCTCTTTATTCCTCATGGGGAAAAATACAATATGACCACACCAACAAAGGTGTTCTGGAGATCATTAAAACAGGTTTTTTTCTCCTACTTATTGGCAGGAAAAATGATGTCATTCTTTAGATATTTGGGAGGCACTAAAAAATGTAGTGATGCATTCCTCTGGAATGAAAAGATCTATTCATAGGGTTGTAAAAGAGCTACAGGCTTTCTCTGAAGTAATAAATTAACAATAACTGCAATGTTTCTTAAGCCTACCCTTTATATTGTGAACTAACAAATACTGCAGAAAATCTTTGCATCCTGAAGTATATGAAGATCTTATGACCTGGCTTCTCAGCTTCCCGCTGCACTGGTACTGTACTCCTATGCTTCTATTACACACAGATTTACAAAACCAGTCTGTTCTCAGCAGATGAAGTTTAGCAGCCAAAAATAACCATGAAAAACAATAAAATAAACAGAAAAGAAATTAGAAGGGAGAACAGATGCCAGTCATATATGTCCTGTAATACATATAACCCCCGTGAATATGAAGTCCTTCTGCTTAAAAGAAATCTTCAACATACATTTCTCAATGCTTCAAGGTAAAAATTAGATAAATTTGTTAGCAAAACGAAGAATGTCTGTAATTTCCAGAGGAGGTCAGCATCAGGTTTCAATCTTGACATGGTTTTTATATTCTATATAATCCCCAATCTGAAATTTTGCAGTTCAAATGCACTTGGTGTGTATTCAGTCTCTTTACATTACTGTGCAGTGACATTTCTGAGAGTGGATATAGTTCCTGTAATCAGCAAGCTGCTTCAGGTACAAGTTTGAAGGCCATCGGTGCATCTCTACAAAATTGCGCTCTTCCACTAGAAAAAGAAATAAATTAAATGTATTAAATGTAAGAAATAAATTAAATGTAATATATAGAGCACACATGCACAGGCTTAAAAAGTCTTTAAAATAGATTTTTAAACATTAAAGATATAAATACACCTACAAAAGTAAAGATGAATGCTGCCTGTTTTGCATTGAGTTCTGCTAGGCCACAGATGTAAGAGTTACCACACAACGTTTCCTCGTTATTAAGTTAGTAACAAACCAGTTGTTTGAAAAAGTGAATACAATACTCTAAGGAGAGCAGAGAGATATTCTTAAAGATGAGCATACTTTATCTCTAGAGCATAGCCATATGTGGGATGCAAGGATTTTTCTATGCTGCAGAAATACAAAGCAGGATAGATCAATTCCTGTGCCAGTAGTTTGTCTCAAGATCAGTACAGAATGCAAGGTGAGGAGTTCAGCTAAGAATTCAGGAAGATGTTAATCTCCTATTGCATGTGGTTTTTATCACTGACAAAGTTACAGAAGAGTCTTTTACCTATATTATTCAGATTAATCCCTTCTGCTTTTGCAGAAAGATGCATTTTCAACCCCCTAAGCCCAGACCTTCCAGAGTCAGCTTGCAGCCATTTTTCCTCATTCCTTGAGACTAAGGCACAGCAGAGAGGCCTACAGCCTGGGGAGCCTGAGGGCAGGCAAACTGCACTCAACTGGACACAAGGCAGGGCTTCATTCTTCAGGAGAATATCCTGCTCATCAAATCTGATTTCCTCTATGGCAAGGTAACTCACCTAGTTGATCAAGGGAAGCCAGTTGAAGTAATGGTTTTGGATGTCAATAAAGCTTTTGAAACTGTTTTTCACAGGATCCTTGTGGACAAAATGTCCAGCCACAGGTGGATAAACACATCATGTGAAGGGTGAGCAACTGTCTCACAGGTCAGGCACAGAGCTACAGTGACTGGGGTGACATCAGATTGGTGACCTGTCACTAGCGGGGTTCCAAAGGCCTCCACCCTTGGCCCTGTGCTCTTCAGCATCTTCAGAAATTACCTGGATGGAGGACTGAAAAGGACACTGAGCAAGATTGCAGATGCTACAAATCCAGGACAAGCTGTTGACTTCCTCGAAGGCAGGAAGACACTGCAGAGAAGCCTCCACGCATTATAAAGTCAGAAAGGGAAAATGCTGGACTCTGCACCTGGGATGGGGAAACCCTGGATGTATTGACAGACTGATGAATGAGATAATGGAGAGCAGTACCCTGCAAAGGGATCTGGGGGTCCTGGTCAACGGCAAATTGAACATGAGTCAGCAGTGTCCTGGCAGCCAGGAGGGACTTCCCTGTTGTGGGGGCACCAGGCCCAGCATCACCAACCAGGCAAGGAAGGGGATTGCACTGGGATGGCCCTGCCTTAAGTCCTGGGGCAGATTTGGGCACTACATCATAAGAATGATATTAACCTATTAGAAAGTGTCCTAAGGAAGACAGTAAAGGGCCTTGAGTGGAAGCCGTGTGAGGAGTGTCTGAGGGCACTTGATCTGCTCAGCCTGGAGGAGACTGAGGGGAGACCTCAGAGGGGTCTGCAACTTCTTTTTGAGGGGAAGAAGAGGCACAAAGGGGAAAAGGAGGGGCAGACACTGATCTTTTCTTGGTGTGACCAGTGACAGGATAAATGGGTAAGGACTGAACTTGTGTTGGGGAGGTTTAGGCTGGATTAGAAAAAGGTTCTTCCCCCAGTGTACGTTTGGGCACTGGAACAATCTCCCCAGGGCAGTGGTCTCAGCACCAGCTTGACAGAGTTCATGAAAATTTTGGACAATACTCTCATGGTGCGACTCTTGGGCATGGTGCTGTGCAGGGCCAGGAGTTGCACTCAGCAGTTCCTTGTGTGTTCTTCCAACTCAGCTGATTCTCTGATTCTGTAAAGGTCTCAGGTCTTGGAAAGCCATTGGAGAGCCACTGCCTGTTGCTGTGTTGCTGTCCTGAACCTCAAGGTGTCATGGGTCAAAGAGACATATCCAAGTCAAAGAGATGCACCCTTCATCAAGGTGAAGGAAAATCACACGGGCAATGAACAAAACTTTCCTAGTTATGCCACCAGAAACAAATACAAATGCTTGGAAAAAATAAATATCATGACCCTGGAAGAGGTCGGATTTATTTACTTGAATGAACCATAGTTTTTTCATTTTATGATATGTGCTGGAGTGTACTGTAAGAATACTATTTTCTTCAAGGAAAACCCTAGCACTTTAAAAAGATCAAAAATTACTCATTACCTTGATTTAAATTATCAAGATAAAATTAAGGGGTTGGCATACAATGGCCAAACTCATTCCAGCAAATTTAGTTATGGGTGGCAACCTGTCCATCCCAATAAGAACCAAAAGAATGGTGATGCAGTTCTGGCTATGTCATGTTGTGTGCTGATTCCACAGGAGGGTGGTAAAACATTCTGATGGAATAGCCTAAAGAAACACTAATTATTTTCTCATGCAAAAAAGGTATTGTCTAGACCATCACTTTTCATCTCAGCAAAACAGAAAACCATTTTTCTCTTCAACATCAATAGAAAAATACCTGATAATTCTTGAAATTCAGGCTTTTGACTGAATATTAGGTAGTTAGTGGCAATAAAATGAAGAAGCCAAGTTGAAAGGCAATCAGAATTGTGAAACTGTGGGAAGAAAGACAAAAAACCACTTAATGCTATCATGTCTAAAATATAACCACATCTTACATGTCAAAATATTTCAGGTTTCCATTGTTAAGCTATTTATTAAATAAAGTTTTGATTGTGGAAGATAACACAGGAAAAGTCATTTAATGGTAATATGTAAACAAGTGGACACCAAAGGAAAAAATATGTAAGACCCTCTCCCAGAGGTAGAAAAAACCCCTGAGGAATCATGAATCTTGGAAATTTTGTCATCTACACAGAGAAAGAGCTTCACAGAAATGGAGGGAAGGAATGTGGCATGTTGGTTTTATTGTCTCCTCTTTCTGCAGAAAATCCTATTTGATTAAGCCAATATCCTGCAATCTAGCTTTTGTTTTACTCTTCTGTTTTCCAACCATGTTGTTATTGTCTCTCTCTTTTTCAGCCTCTGATGTTTTCTCTGCATGCTTTTATGCATTCCTGTCTATATTTTGTCCAGCTGGAACTTCTTTATCACCTGCATACCACATAATTTTCTTTTTTGACTATAAGTGGAACAAATACATCTTTACTTGCCTAAAACACATCTTTTCTGGAGGAAGCTGTAGTTAAGCTGAATTACTGCAGTCTACCCATGACTAGAGGGTCTGGAGACCAGATCTTATGGGGAGCAGCTGAAGGAGGTGGGGCTTTTTATCCTGGAAAAAAAAAAAAGGACCTTATCGTTCTCTACAGCTCCCTGAAAGGAGATTGTGGGCAAGTGGGGCTTGGTCTCTGCTCCCAGATAAAAAGTGACAGGACAAGAGGAAATGGCCTCAGGTTATGCCAAGGAGATTTAGGTTGAATAGTAGTGTCCTGGGTTGATTATGATGTTAAATTGTATCCCCATTCGTCCACCTAACCCAGACACAGGTTCTGTATTCTTAAAATTCCATCTGAGAGTAAAAGTGAGTGGAAAAGAAGCACCAAGTCTGTTATCAGACTGTACTTGCTCCCCCGCATCGGGAGTTTTGACTACAGCACAGACAGACAACAAGACACAGATCGCCTTGGCTTTCCAACTAGCCGGAGCAGAGAGGTCTTCCTGGACTGTTTTCTTTCCCTTTTTCTGAAACAAATCGAACCTGCTCTGGGCTGGGGACTCGGGGGAGCACCGGGAGCTTGCACCCGTGGACTACCGGGAGCCCGGCCTGGGCAGCGGCATTTTCCAGCGCCAGAGGGACTGATAACAGAGCCAACACCCCCAGGAAAGAGACCCTCTGAAGTTTGTCATCTCTTCTGAAGGGCGAGAGGTTTTTTAATTTGATATCGTTCATTCTTGTGCTGGGTAGTGCTGTGCCTGTGAAATAAACAGGTTTTTTCCACTCCTCTCAGATAAATCTCTTCCCAAACTGGTTGGGGGGTGGGGGGGAAAAGGGCCACGTGGGTTTGCTTCCCGGGGGGGAGCCCCACTGGAGGTTTTCTCCCAAATTTGCCCTAAACCAGGACAAATACATTCATTGGCGCCCAGCGCGTGGCACGAGAGAGTGGAAAAACCCTGTACTCATTGTACTGAAGTGGCAATTACTTTGTATACTTTGTATTGTGATAAGATAAAGCAGTCCCTACCCATCCAGCCATGCTGCTTGAATTAATAATGTCTTTTGGGGTGCAGGCCTTCATGTGTTTCTGGTCGCTAGGCTTTTTTGAGGTTTTAATACCTTTATAGTCCCTTGGTTTATTTTCTTATCCACAACTAGCCCCGGTATTGTCCCTAACACATAGCTTTTACAGTAGAGGGGCACGGATTAAAATAGCTATTGAGCTGGGCCTAGTGATTATGATTTCCAAGAAGTTTATTCAAGTGCTGCAGTCTGTTCCAAATATAAAAGATTCATAGGTATAGTTATGCACCCAGTTTGTTAGAGGAGGAGTAGGGAATGAGGCTTTTCAACCTTTCCTTTCCTTCTTCTCCTCTGAATCAGTTACATCATTATTGAAGAGTGTTCAGTTTCCCCTGAATGTTAAAGAGACCATCTTTCTGGCATTTAATCTGTTTCCTCTATACAGTCTTCAGCCTCTCTAGAATGAGGGCTGAGATTTCTAGAGGGACTGATGAGACCCCAGAACCAAGCATGGAAAATCCTGAGTGGGGTAGAGAATGGGAGGATATGGGCCAAATCCTGAAGGAATTTTCTGACCGTGTAGGTTGGGACTTTCCACATGAGCAAATTCTGAATCCAGCTGAAGTGGAGAAATACCTGAAAGAGAAGTGTCAGGATAATTCCAAAGAAAAAAAGATCATTGCAGTAAGCTGGGCCCTGGCATATGCTTATCGCACATTGCTAGATACTGTAGGGCAGCAGACAGAAGAAAGGAGACAGAGAGATAAATCAACAGTTACCCCAATTACTCAGGCTGCAGCCAACCTCCCAGTTACAAAGCTGGTAGCTAAACCAGACAGCAAGCCTCAACCCATGGCTGTTGCTACTAGCACAAGAAGTAGAAAGTGCACAGACAAAACCGATCAACCAGTGAATGATGATGATGATGATGCAGGAATGATGATGATGATGATGCAGGAGAAAGACCCTCAACGCCTCCTGACACAAAACCAAGAGTCAAAGCAACTGGCACAAGATCAGAGGCTAATATTGAGTCCTTTTCCCTGAAAGATCTTCGTAGCCTAAAGGAAGGACTACACTCGACGACCTGATGAGTCTATAATTAGTTAGTTAGTCCGTCTGTGAAACGCCGCAGGTGAAGCTACAGTTCTGGATGGCACTGAAGCGAGGCATCTGGGATCCCTGTCACATGATCCCGTTATTGACCAGGAGATGATGAGGGGGGCTGACCCTTGCAGTCTCTGGGCACGGGTCCTTGAAAGTGTAGCCCAAAGATATCTGTGTGTAGATGATCTTTACATGCAGCAAACACAATAAAAAACCATCGAACAAGAGATCCAACGACTGAGAGAAATGGCAGTGGCAGAGAGTGTTTTTTCAGACAACATACCAACTAAGAATCCAGACTTGGTGCCATGTACATCCGTGATGTGGTGAAAATTGATACGACTTAGGCCACAAGAATATGCATCTGCATTAGCAATGATGAAACGGGATGAAAGAGAAGAGACCGTGCTGAATATGGCGAAGAAGCTTCGAGCATACGCAGCTGCCGTGCATGGCCCCACACATGCAAGAATCGCAGCTGTGGAAACACGTCTGCAGAGATTAGAAAATAAGATAGAAGAGAATCACAAGAAACTTAAAGATGAGATTAAAGAAGACCTTCTCCAAATCTCAGCAGTACAGATCAGAGGTCCTGGCACTCAACGCAGGCGTTCCCCAGATCGGGAGAGAAGCTATACCCCACGAGCTGAGCTGTAGTTCTTCCTGCGTGATTGCGGAGAAAACGTGAGGAGATGGGATGGGAAATCTACTGCAGCTCTGGCACAACGGGTGTGTGAACTGAAAGAGAAGAAGAGTCACAAAGGAAGTTCCATCAAAAGGGAAGCAGCTCCAGTTGCACATAGCCGAACTGCCAGGTATGATGATGATGACATGTCTGACCCCCTTGAAAGAACATCCAAGACATATACCAAAGGAAAAGATAACCAAGCTTAGAGGGGCCCTGCCTCTAGCCAGGTAGAGGCTAAGGAAAATCGTGTTCTTTAGACTGTGTGGATTCGTTGGCCTGGCACATCAGAACCACAACGATATGAAGCTTTAGTTGACACTGGTGCACAGTGCACGCTAATCCCATCAAGACATGTAGGGACAGAATCTGTTTCTATTGCTGGCATGACAGAGAGATCGCAGGATTTTACCTTGGTGGAAGCGCTGTGGAGACAGAGGGTGTCCAGCAACTGAACACCTTGCTAGACTGTCTGAGAATCCATCTACAGTAAGACTTCTGAAAGTGAAAAGACAACAAGTACCAATTGCCACCTCGACAGTGCACCGCCGACAATATAGAACAACTCGAGATGCTGTGATCCCCATCCACAAAATGATCAGAGAGCTAGAGAGCCAAAGAGTGGTCAGCAAAACCCACTCACCTTTCAACAGCCCCATCTAGCCTGTGCGTAAATCTGACAGAGAATGGAGATTGACTGTGGACTATCGTGCATTAAATGAAGTGACTCCACTGCTGATCACTGCCATGCCAGACATGCTGGAGCTCCAGTATGAGCTGGAGTCCAAGGCATAGAAGTGGTACGCCACTATTGACATTGCCAATCTTCACGTGGAGGGGAGTGCAGTACACCTGGAACCGACTGCCCCAGGGGTGGAAGCACAGCCCCACCATCTGCCATAGACTGATCCAGGCTGCCCTGGAAAAGGGTGAGGCTCCAGAACATCTACAGTACATAGATGACATCATTGTGTAAGAGAACACAGCAGCAGAAGTGTCTGAGAAAAGAGAGAAAATCATCAAGATCCTCCTGGAAGCTGGTTTTGCCATCAAGAAGAGCAAAGTTAAGAGACCAGCTTGTGAGATTCAGTTCATGGGGATAAAGTGGCAAGATGGGCGGCGTCAGATTCATACTGATGTCATTAACAAAATTACAGCAATGTCTCCACCAACTAATAAAAAAGAAACACAAGCTTTCTTAAGTGCCATAGGGTTTTAGAGAATGCATATTCCTGAATACAGTCAGATTGTGAGCCCTCTTTACTTGGTCACTCGGAAGAAGAATAATTTCCATTAGGACCCTGAGCAGCAACAAGCCTTTGCTCAGATCAAACAAGAGATTGCCCATGCAGTAGCCCTTAGCCCAGTCAGAACAAGACCAGATGTGAAGAATATGCTCTATTCTGCAGCCGAGAGCCACGGTCTGTCCTGGAGCCTTTAGCAGAAAGTGCCTGAAGAGACTCGAAACCGACCATTAAGATTTTAAAGTAGAAGCTACAGAGGGTCCGAAGCCCATTACACCCCAACAGAAAAAGAAATTTTAACAGCCTATGAAAGAGTCCAAGCTACCTCAGAAGTGATTAGCACTGAAGCACAACTCCTCCTGGCACCCCAACTACCGGTGCTAAGATAGATGTTCAAAGGAAAGGTTCCTTCCATCCATCATGCAACCAGTGCCACATGAAGCAAATAGATTGCTCTTATCATGCAGCGCGCCCGTATTGGTAAACTGAACCGACCTGGGATTTTAGAAATAATTACAAACTGGCCAGAAGGTGAAAATTTTAGTCCCACAGATGAAGAACAAGAAGAAGTGACAAAAGCTGAAGAAGCTCCACCATGCAACCAACTGCCAGCAGAAGAAACACACTATGCTTTGTTCACTGATGGTTCCTGTCACATCGTAGGGATGAACCGGAAGTAGAAAGCAGCCGTATAGAGCCCCACATGACAAGTCGCAGAAGCCACTGAAAGAGAAAGTGGATCAAATCAACTTGCAGAACGCAAAGCTGTTCAACTAGCCCTGAACACTGCTGAAAGAGAGAAGTAGCCAAAACTCTACCTCTACACAGATTCATAGATGATAGCCAATGCTCTGTAAAGATAGTTAGAGAAGTAGAAAGAAGCTAATTAGCAGCGTAGAAGAAAACCAATTTGAGCTGCCAAAAAGTGGAAAGACATTGCTACCAGAGTAGAGAAACTACCAGTAAAAGTCCGCCACGTAGATGCCCATGTCCCCAAGAGTAGAGCTAATGAGGAACACCAAAATAATAAACAGGTAGATCAAGCTGCAAAGATACAAGTGTCAAAAATAGATCTGAATTGAGAACATAAGAAAGAGTTGTTCCTAGCCCGATAAGCTCATGATGCCTCAAGTCATCAGAGTAAAAATGCCACCTATAAGTAAGCACGAGACTGAGGGGTGAATTTAACTATGAACAGCATTTCTCAAGTTATTCATGACTGTGAGACGTGTGCCACGATCAAGCAAGCCAAGCAGTTGAAGCCCCTCTAGTACGGTGAGCGATAGTCCAGATACAAATCTAGAGAAGCCTAGCAAATTGATTATATCACACTGACCCAAACCCGCCAAAGCAAGCGCTACGTGCTCACAATGGTAGAAGCCACCACGAGATGGTTGGAAACCTACCCTGTGCCTCATGCTACAGCCCGTAACACCATCCTGGGACTTGAAAAGCAAGTCCTTTAGAAACATGACACCACTGAGAAGACTGAGTCAGACAATAAGACTCATTTCAAGAACAGCCTTATAAACAGCTGAGCTAGAGAACATAGCATTGAGTCAGTGTACCATATCCCCTACCATGCACCTGCTGCTGAAAAAGTAGAGAGGTACAATAGACTATTAAAAATCACCTTCAAGGCACTAAGTAGAAGATCTTTTAAAAACTGAGAGCAACATCTAGCAAAAGCCACCTAATTAGTCAACACCAGAAGTTCCACCAACCGAGCAAGTCCTGCCCAGTCTGAATCTTTACATGTAGCAGACAGAAACAAAGTCCCAGTAGTACATGTCAGAAGTCTGCTAGAAAAGACAGTTTAGGTCAATTCTACCTCAGGCACAGACAAACCCATTCGTGGAGTTGTCTTTGCTCAAAGACCAGGTTGTACATAGTAAATAATGCAGAGAGATAGAACAACACGATGTGTACCTCAGGAAGACCTGATCATTAGGTAAAAAGTTACTGCCATTGTCTGTACCTTAAACCACGCAGACACGAAACAGAAGGAAATGTGTAAGTGTTGAAGGTATGAGCAGGTGAAAGATAGTGTTTTGAGTGAGTGAAATGAGAGAGTAGAGAATCCTGCAGCTCTCCAGCGTGAGAGAGTCTAGATTCAGTAGCTTGTTGTAGAGCTTGACAGGAGCATGATAGATATACTGCTTGTATTTTTTGGGTGGAACGGAAGAGAAGTTTCTATGTATGTAAATGTGTGCAGAGTTAGAATGTTAGTTTTAGCAGTAAGTCGACGATATGAGGATAAGGGGTGGAATGTCCTGGGTTAATTATGATGTTAAATTGTATCCCCATTCGTCCACCTAACCCAGACACAGGTTCTGTATTCTTAAAATTCCATCTGAGAGTAAAAGTGAGCGGAAAAGAAGCACCAAGTCTGTTATCAGACTGTACTTGCTCCCCCCGCATCGGGAGTTTTGACTACAGCACAGACAGACAACAAGACACAGATCGCCTTGGCTTTCCAACTAGCCGGAGCAGAGAGCTCTTCCTGGACTGTTTTCTTTCCCTTTTTCTGAAACAAATCGAACCTGCTCTGGACTGGGGACTCGGGGGAGCACCGGGAGCTTGCACCCGTGGACTACCGGGAGCCCAGCCTGGGCAGCGGCATTTTCCAGCGCCAGAGGGACTGATAACAGAGCCAACACCCCCAGGAAAGAGACCCTCTGAAGTTTGTCATCTCTTCTGAAGGGCGAGAGGTTTTGTAATTTGATATCATTCATTTTTGTGCTGAGTAGTGCTGTGCCTGTGAAATAAACAAGTTTTTTCCACTCCTCTCAGAGAAATCTCTTCCTGAACCGGTTGAAGAGTGGAGAGAAAGAGCCACGTAAGTTTACTTCCCAAGAGAAGCCCCACTGGAGGTTTTCTCCCAAATTTGCCCTAAACCAAGACAAGTAGTAAAAATTTCTTTGTGGCAAGGGTTGTCAAACTCTGAAGCAGGCTTCCTGGGGTACAATGGTAGAGGCAATGCTCTGATTCTGTGACTGCACATTCGGCAACTAAAGCTGAAGGATTTCGTCTGGTCAGCCTTGTGTCACTAGTTATCCCTAATAAACAGGTTTTATACCAACATGTTTCCTTGGGAACAGGAATTGCTGTAAAGATTTTTAAAATCTTAAAAAGCAAACAACTTATTAAAGTCAACATGTATGTTCTCATTTGGTATATAGAATAAGTACCTTAGCTTTTTTGAGCAAGCTAACAATACTGAGGCTTGTGGAAGCCAGTTCCCTGCTAGGCATGCTCTGAAGCTGCGTGATGATGTAAAGTTCACAAATATGCCGGAGTCTCATTACTTGGTACATCTCTGCACAGATCAGTAGAGACATTGCTTGGAGAATACCGGCTGAAAAACAAGAAGACACAAGTTACATGTATTTTACTTTCTTGACAAGATGATCAAAGCTATTTTTCACCAAGCTGTCTTTTAAATACCTACGAACAAACACAAAATCAGACTGCTGTGATCACCTTTTCATTATTATAAATTTTTGTTTGCTGTATCATCTTATTTTTCCAGAAAAGCTATTAAAATTAGAAGAAAAACTTGTTCAGAACTTCTTGGTAGATGAGTGTAAAGAATTGCTGTCAATATTGAAGTTCTTTTTGAAGATAATGAGTCAAGTGCTGCTGATCTATTTAGAGTAAGTGATAATTAATAAGTGGATTTAGCTAGGTTCTTTTTCAGAAAAGCACTTTTATGATATAATACAGCCAAAAGTCAAAAAAAAAAAAAGGTCACCTTTTTTCCTAAAATATAGCATGGTGGTTGCATTTTTAAACTGATAAACAAGGAAAAGTTAAGTGGAGTGAAAAAAGAAACATGGAATATCTAACAATAAGGTAGAATAATTATTTCAAAAGAAAACAAAAGCAAAAATACATATGACAACATCATTTATTCATTATATCAAGGAAAAATTAGCTGTGCTTAAATAATGTTTTAGATTTAGTAAGCAGATATTCTTCTCATAAAAAAATGTGGAGACATAAAGAATATTTTATATTTTAATTTAAAGAATATTTTAGCTCAATTTTTCTTGCCAAACACTCCTGTTGACATATTTTTTCTGGGTTTACACACACGTAAGATAACCATGTGTATAAATAAGGTATTCCTGCATTTTAACCTTGTTTATAATAAACTCAGCTATATGAGTGTTCAAGAAATGACAACTTTTGAATAAAACACAGAATCCAGATTAGAAAGCAGTATTACTGTAATGTAAAAAGAAAATTCCAAATATTATAATGGATCAGAAATTAAATTGCAACTTCTTTGAGTCTTGTCTTCTTTATGAGCGCAAAGCAAATACGTAATTTTATTAGAAATATTGCTTCTATTTCATTTGTATAGGATGAATTTCTTTTTTGTTGCACAATACAAAAAAAATCCTCTTTCTCAAGACACTGCACATGCAAATATTAGCATTTTTCAATTAAATAGATACTGCTACATTACACTCTATCAGTGGCCTGCTGTGGAAGAATGAGTCACAGATATAGAACTGTATTTTACAGTTTCCTTACCTGGGCAGCAGGAGTCAGTGTAAAGGTACTCTAGGAAGGACAGGAAAGTGTCTTTGGAAACCCCGTACACCGGAACCAGAACGCTATTTGCTTCTAGATAATTACCATTAAACATGGCTGCCATAACCTCACAACGGGCTACCAGAACTGCCCTGTGGGCTGGTACAGTTGCATCTGCAGGATGCAAGATAAAAATAAATATACAATGACTTTATATAACACCGAAAGATCTTCATTTTAAAGCTCAGTTCTTCTTAAGAGGTGTTTACTCCACTGAACATGGTTTACATTTTGACAATGGTTTAAGTGTTGACAATAACTAACACAGTCACTGCATACCAGTTAAGATGAATAATGAATAGTAAAATAAAGCAAAATAAAGAAACAAAGAATTAATTAAACCAAAATGAAATAGACTAAACCAACAGAGAATAGACAGAATCAATCTGTTCACACTAACTGAACCTCCAGCCCACTGCATAAATATTCAGTGCTATGAATTGTTATGCAAATGGTTAATGATTGGACTTGATGATCTTAGGCGTCTTTTCCAATCTGAATGATTCTATGAAGAGTCATTTACATTCACCAATAACCCTACTGGTAATTAATATTTGGAACAGAACAACCACACAAAGCAGAGAAAGGCAAATTTTTCCAGATGAAATTCTATTAAGCTCAGTAACTAAACATAAATTTAACTAGATGAAATATTGTGCCTAAGTGAATTTCCTGAATGGTTGTCTTATGAAAAAAACACTGATGATTTCTTCCAGAAATTTATTAATTTTCTATTATATACAAGTGAATCCTTTGCGTTACTCTAACATTTGGAAGACCTGGAGAGGCCAACAGCTCAGGGTGGTAGAGGCCTTTCAGGCTGCAGCATCCAGCTGGACTAAGCAGTCCAGTTTTGTGTGCAAGGAAATGCCAAGCAAATTCCAGTCAGGACAGCAACCGAACCCTAAATGAGCATTTAGAGTTGCATGTAAATATTTTAATCAAAATTATAATAAACAGATCAACTGACATACAAGATAAATATACTGTATATATTCACAAGGAAGTTACTGTTTTAATTACAACATTGGCACCTGAGTAACTCTTTGAAGCCTTCTGGCATTTTTTGTCTTTTGTTCTATTCCTACCCTCTGTACTTCTTTCAAAATGTCTAAGCTGCACACCATATATCCTGTATGTACTTGTGAATGGACATTTATCTACTAATTAAGAAGTTCAGTCACGTTCTGTGTCTTTACACAGAGATGGGTAAATGGGCTCCTATTTTTCATGGCTCTTCTATAAGCTAGAAAGCTCAAAGCAATGCTAAGCATCCAAGGAATTGCTCAAAAACTTAAAAATTTGTTTGTCTGGTTAAGATTAGGGCCTTCACTTTCTCTTAGTAGTTATTTATTTTTGATACAGTTATTCTGACTGATGAATTAGAGAAAAAGGTTTGCAAGACGTATCAATTATTAGGAAAAACAGTTTGTGTTTTATTAGTGGATAAGCATGATTTTTTAAAATACTTGTCAACCCATTCAGAGATTTGGGGTTTATTTCTGTAGAATATATAGTGTTCTGATTTCATCAGATTCCAACAGAGATTCTCTCAGCAGTGGGACACTGAGGTAAATCCTATATGTCATCAAACTCAAAATCAGTATTTCCCTATCCTTTCCAAAGGTATTTTTGTGGAGTTTTTTTCTGTGTATTAAACAGAACTTGTAGAAAGAGTCTGCTTGTCCTTCTGAGCTTATGTTTGAGGAGTTAATGCTTCATGTTTGTCCCTGAGATTTACATCTGAAAAGAATTAAACAACTATCTAATTCTATAAGGCCTTTTCAGCATGAAGGCTGAGTATGGACCAACTTAGCTTTTAAAAAACATCTCGTTCTTATTCTTACAAAAGCATGCAACACGTTTCTCCCACTGCATCTTTTATTGCAAGGATGAACACATTTAATTTCTGAACAGAAAATCAAATCCTGACACTGCAGTACATGAGGCAGTAAAATGTGGCAGGTGTCAGTGGCACCAGATCTGCAGGTCGCCAAACCCTGGTGGCAAGGACAGCGAAGACAGTCCCTGTCAGCTTCTGGGGAACAAAACAGGTGCTTCCACAACCAGCACCTGCCTGAGAGGGACAAAAGGATGTTAGCCAGGAGTCAATAACCACCATCTTTCATCTTTTCACTGAGGCCAACAAGCACAGAGGTGAAGCCCATGCCTCTCCAAGGTATGATGTTGGGCAGATGCCTTAAGTATGCACTAGTGCTTGTGCAGCTGGGAAAAGGAGTGAGATTAAAATACAATACAATACAATACAATGTAATAAAACAAAGTAAAACAAAATGAAAGAATGCAAAATAAAATGAAGTAAACCAGAATAGAATAAAATAGAATAAAAAATAGTGTCAATCAGGGAGGCACAGTGGGCTATGACAGGGAGAGGCAATTCCTATAGGCGCAGCCCAGACAAACCATGCTGGGAGTGGACACTGCTACATAGCATCCATAGGGACAAGCTTTCCCTGTTTTCCACAGTGGCAGCAAAGCACTCATATTTTCCTAGTTTTGATGCCATAGAACATGGCCACCTCTATATCCCACATTCCTGAGGAAGGGAAAACGGATAAAGGCTGGAGGCCAAGGGAGCAGAGGTACAGTACCTTGTATTTTGAAGAGTACATCAGCCAGCACAGGTGTGTTAAAGAACAGCCTGAGAGAAGTATTATAGAGCAGTTTTATCTGGTGAGATTTGCAGTCCTTTACAGTGTTTGGCTGAAAAACAAATTGGTAATAAAGCACTGTCATGTGCAACTGCCCACAGAACTAAATATTATGGGAGACCTTTTATATAGGAAAATAAACAACAGCTTCTTGCATATACATTCATCTGCAATCGTCTTTTATCTTCTAATTTCCTATTCCCTACAGTGCAGCATCTCTGAGAGGTCTCTTGTCACACCTTTGCTCTCTCCTTGGTATTCTTGACCTTCCATGAAACTCCCCCATCCAGTGCTGACAGGCAGGTTGGGCTTCATCAGATTTCTGTAGTCCAAACTTTTTCATAAATTCCCTGTCCAGACCCAATGCTGCAGCAAAATGAGGTTTGAGGGTTCTGGGGGGAGCAGGGGTGGCGCATCCATCCATCCCCCACTGTGATGCCATGTACAGAGGCAAGGCAGCTGAAAATTCTGTGTTTCTTTATACTGCCCTGGAACTGCTTCCATAGAGGCAGGGGGAGCTCACAGACTGAAGCACAGACTCCTCTTACGATAACTTTGTAGTGTCAAGACCCTCCAAAACCCAGTACTCCCAGTTAGTTTTCAGTTTTGGTTTTCTTACCTTAAAAATGTAGTCTAGGGCTGCCGAAAGGAGCAACATCAAAATTATGTTGCTAGATTGTGATAAGTGAAATTCAGATTAGATTGAATTTATGGTTAAAATCTTAAATTCATAAATTTTTTAGTTTTATTATGAAAAATACCAGTTCTTTCTTTTTGGCCTCCAAAGAAAAATTCTTAAATGGGAAATAAGAGTACCCTGAAGGCACAAAAAAAGAATAAAAGAAATGTCAACAGCTCAGGCTCACTGTCTTAGAAGTCTTCAGGCTCTCCAAGGCCAAATGTAGAAATATTTTAGCTGTGGGTAAGCCAGAATAGTCAAAAGCTGAAAACAGCTAAGTAACTTAGTGATCTCTATATTGTATTGTTCAAAGAGAATTTGAGAGGTTTTCCCATCTAAATCAACAGAAATCATTACAGCAAGTTCTATATTATCAGGGAATTTATAAGCTCCAAGAGCATATGTCTATAAAAACTAATTCTGTGTTAGAACTAATTCTACATTGTGACTTTTTATGAAATTAATAATATGATATACATTACATTTTTTTATTTGGTGTTTTACTTAATTAAATATATTGAGTTACAGACAGCTTTCCACATCACAACATTTCTAGGAGAAATTCAACCCTCTGGATCTACTGCAGAAGCCCTGCTTTTGCCATATGTTCAGGAACAAATCTTTCCTGGGCAGCCTCTATTACATGGGAATTAGCAACCCATAATCATATAGCCAGACAATGTTCAAAGCTGTGAATATGAGTAATCCTTTTAGAATACCTGCTTATGTGATTTTTACCAATTACATTAATTCTGCATGTTACATACAATCTCTGTGTACATGTCTACAAACTAAAAACATGAAAAAGTGCAGGCTGTGTAAGCCAAAGTGACTTTAAAAGAAAGACTGACAAGAAAACTTTGCCTACAAAGCAATTTCTCAAAAACTTAAGTAATTAATGGTGACCCAAGTGAGATAGATGTACCTTCCCTGGAGTTTTCAGGATGCATTTAACTTTCTCAAGCACATGTTCTGTTTTATCTGGATCTTTCAACTTCTTTTTTATGTCCTCTTCCAATCGTTCCCACTGGAAAGCACCTATCACAAAACCAGGGGAGATGGATTATAAATCAGCAAGGCACAGGCCTCAGCATGCAGAGGAAAGATGACATCAACACAAAACACATCCTGCAGAAATGGTAGGGAGTTTGTACATAAATCAGCCAGATCTTTGCTTTTAAGAAGGGCAAGATGCAATTTTTGCACATTAAATTTTCATGGTAGTTTCTATGGTGCAACCAAGTACTGACAGACTAGAGAATCTCACTTGCTTTCACACTCAATCTATGAATTCCTCCCTGTTCAGTCACTACATATTACAGGCAGAGATTATTAAAAAAAAAAATAATCCTTAATGCTTCAACATTTGTGCCAATTTTTCAGCTTATGCCCATGCTGCTGGCTGCATTGTTCTGTAGATGTCTGATCTACAAAAACTTCATGCACAGTTACATTCTCATACAGTCCTCATAGCTAAAACCAGCACAAAATTTGCAATAGAATTCCTGTTATTCTTGTTTTCTCTGTAAAATTCTGTTATTATTGTTTTTGCACCCATGACATTCACTGATGTGTCTCAAGAGTTTTCTTGGAAAAAATAAGAGAGTAAATACAAGATAGTTTATCTTCATGCACTTTGCTGCAGTCTCAGAGGCACCATAGGGCTTTGTGGCAACTTTCAGTTCTAACCCAGGACAAGAAGGAGACAAAAATAGATCAAGCTCAGTGACAAGCCCAACTCAACACAGCCCCGGAGATTCTCTGCTGTTGAGAGGCTGAATCAGCACCTACAGCACACAGCATTCTCAGCTCAATTAGCTTCCATCTATATCACACTGGCTAAGCATTTATAACCTCATGGGCATTGTGTCGCAGTCCTGAAAAGCTGAAAACTTATAATTTGTTCTCTTCTGTCACTCTATTAGGAACGGCTGGGAAGAACGACACAGACTGTCTAGGGAGTCAGTTAGGAGAATGTTTCCTAGTTTATTATTTCAGCTTTGTTTTATAGACTGATAGGTGGAAAGTACAGAAAGGAAACTCTTACTGGTTAGCAAACCACTACATCACCATCATTGGTCAGTGGGGCACACTACCCCCTGACTTTCTCCTGCAAAGAAAACAAGAGACAGAGAAACAACACCTGCAAGGATGTTTTCTATCTCTGAGGATTGTTTTGAATCCTCCTTATAAATTCCCAGGCTACTTTCTCAGGCTGGGCTGAGAAAGCTATGTAGCCTGTAATTTCTACAGGCTCTCTGCTGCCTGCTCCAGAGCTAGCATCCACACTCTTCTTAGCCTGTACCTCCAGCACCTTCAAGAGACAATGGTCACCTCTCAGAGGCACCAGAAGACACAATGAGTTTTGCAATGACCTTCAGGCTAGGAGCCTCAGCTGGGACCCAAGCAGAGCTCTGCCTACAGCTACAGAGTCTCACAGCCCCTTGGCTGACATAAAGGAAAGTAAAAAAGGAAAATTAGTGCACACAAGGCAGTAGACACAAGCTGTAGAGGGTAACAGATGAAGATGCTTACAAAGACTGCGAGAAAGGAGGCTCAGGGGTGAACTTGCCTCCCGCTTCAACTGCCAAGAAAGTTGTAGCCAGTTTGGAGACAGTCTCTTCTCCCAGGCAGTAAATGACAGAACAAGAGGAAACAGCCTCAAGTTGCACCAGGGGAGGTTTAGATTCAGTATCAGGAAAATTTCTTTGCCAAAGGGTTGTCAAGCACTGGAACAAGGTGCCCAAGGCAGTGGTGGGATCACCATCCCTGGAGGCACTTCAAAGATATGGTACATGGGGACACAGTTTAAGTGATGGGCTTGGCAGTGATGGGTTAGTGCTTGGATTTGATAATCTTAAAGGTATTTTTCAACCCATATTATTAAATTATTATGTGAATTAAAAATACTGAATTTTTCCATCACCTGCTGAAAATCCAGTTTTAATCCCCTATTCTTGTCTCCAATAAATAAGAAATAAAAAATCCATTCAGTGATTTTTTTCAGTGAAAAACTTCTTCATCTACTCTTTATGTTTGTCCCTATTTTGGAAAGAACTGCCTTTGATGTACAAACTCCAACTGAAAGCTGAAAGATTCTCTGACAGTTGAAAAATATTTTATAAAGAACAAATAGGAATTAGCTACTTCCACAAAAAGACCCCAAATCTTTCTGCTGAGAATTTCTAAGCAACATCTGAAAAGTTAAAAAAAGTATCAGTGCCATTTTAATAGCTGGCATTAGATAGTTGTGTCAGCTGAGGTACAGTCTGTACCAACTGGTAGCAAAACTCATGCAACACCTCAGAGATCTCCACACTCCACTTATCACTGTTTTCTCTTCAGCTGCACTGTTGGAATGCAGTTAGGAAAAATGGTATGACCCAAAAAATGTTCCCCCAAAAGTGTAGAATTGTAAGTTTCTTTCCCGTATCTTGTTCTCCCCTTATTGGTTGTGTAAATTCCCTCACCCCTTTCCCCTGTCTTCAAAAAGAGAGGCTTATCGATACCTCTTCCTCTTTCCCTCCTGCAACCTCACTCTGTAGGGTCCCAAGAAATAAAGCTGTAACTGCTATCTCAGCAAAGGGAAAGAGCCTCGTTTTTAGGTTCTTCTTTGACAAGCTAAACTATCTCCCCTGTCTCCCTGGCTGCTGTGGGGTGGACAGTAGTGGCAGAGAGGCAGGGGGACATTAGAAATTAGAGCACTGCACCATACTCAGAATAAAATTACTAGAGTTTTCTTAAGTAACTGCATTGTTGCCCTTGTGTTTAGAACATGCAACCATTTACAATATTTTAAAAACCTAGGATCTGAAACTTACTCAAACTCCAAATCTTCTGGGGGAAAATTTTGCATGTTATTAATGTTAGCCAATGGACTAATTTAATTTAGGTCCATAAAGTCTGGAATGCAAACTAATTTAGTTTTTGCTAAATACAGATGATGACCTTTTTTCGCTGTGCATAGGAATCACAAGGGATAAAATAGGTGTGGAAAGATGGTGAGACGCCATCTCACAACAGCAAAGCCACATTCCTTAGGGTGATGCACATATTCCTTCATCAGACAATAGGAAATGGAGGAGCCAGATCTGATATGAATTGAAAGAGATACCAGCAGGTACCTGAATAAATGAAGTGGAGGATATCTGGGAGACAAGAGCAGAAGAGAGAATCCTTCACCACCACCCTGACTGGTGGGACACAGGGTGGGACACCATGGGGATACGAGGGTAAGGGATCCCCCTCCTCCACTGCAAAGAGACTCTGTGCCAGCTGCACAAGGGAGGTGTCATGGGCATCGGATGGGCTCTTCACTCCAAACAGCAGCATGAAGAGGTGGCTGACAGAGCAGAGGATGATCTTGTGAGCCTCCACTGCTATGCTGAGGTCCTCAGGATAGAAGGCCACATCTACACACTGGCAGCAGCAGAGCAGGTTGTGCAGGTCTGCGTTGTAGTGTGAGGCTTCACCCTTCAGGATCGGCATCTTTTCTGCAAAACAAGTCAGGCTGTAACTTAGGCAGGTGCTAACCACAGGGCAACTGACTTTATCAGGTCAGTTTAATTTTTAGAAGACGTATTCAATAAGAATATTTCTTACATACTGTTTTAATATCTTGAGTAAAATACTCTAAAAATGGAAATACTTAGTACAGTAAGTTAAGAAATTCTTAGTTTAATAGTAAGTGTCTGTTCTTTCATGAACTCTCTATAGAAAGTTACACTATAAAGAGACTTTGACTATGTATTCCAAATCTATGAGGTCTGAGCAAATTCTTAGAACATTAAGAAGAGTGTTCTAAGACGAGGAAGAAGACACAGCTACAGATTTAGAGGTAACTACTTCTCAGTAATTTTTTCACTGAACAAATGCATCAAATGCTCAGAAATCACTTAAGGGTGTGTACTTCTCTCCCTTGCTTTATCTGCAGAAAACAAAAACATTACTTGATGATATTGTAGAATAACAATTCATGCTCTAACAACTTTCTTTTGTAATCTCTCTGTTAAGATTTTATATAAAGCTTTTTTCATGTGTTCGTTATTTCATCAGTCCACCAGAAAAACACTCCTATTAGTTATATCTAAAATAAACTAGAAATCCATTGCACTGTTATTTATTGCCATACAATTTTCCCCAAGCAAATTTAACCATTGCTAAATGACAATGCAACAAACCAGAAGAGCTGACAATAGATAGCATAGCTCACAGTAAAAATTGTTAGTAAAAAATGTAGCAAAAAATATTAATTGTGCAAAGAAAATGACACACATAAGGAATTATACTAGTGACCAGATATCAATGAGCACCTGGCTGTTCAAGTTGAGGTGGTTGGACTCGATGGCACTTCTGCATCTTTTTCCTTTCCTTCATTTTTTTGGATGACTTCTGATTCAAACTTTGGATCATAAAATATTCCAGCTAAGACAAGAAACATATTTTTTAAAAAACCCTTGTTATTTAATAACAACCTAGGCATCAAATTAAGGGGTATGAAAGGTTCTGTATGCAGGACTAAAACTACTGACACTATTACCAGTCATCCAAGAGTCCCAAAACTCCTTTATGAGAAGCTCCCATATTTAGATAAAACTAGCACAGTTTAAAAGACTATTTATTCAAATGATTGTGGTTAATTCTTGTATATTTAATCTTCCTAGAATTGACAGACATAAGGATATTCAATTTATCAACTTCTTTAGATGCCAATTGGTTCTTGGGGTCTCATTCAGCAAGATAAAAGGACAAGAATACAAGTGGAACACTTACTGCAGTGTGTCAGATGGCTTGCCTAAATCTTCCTGCTTAAAACCAGAGCAACCTTGGTACTGCTAATTCAGATAGTATCATAGAACCCTAGAATGGTTTGGTTTGGAAAGTACCTTGGCCATTGAATTCCAATCCCCCTGCCATGGGCAGGGATACTTTCCACTAGACCAGGTGCTCCAAGCCCCATCCAACCCTGCCAAGAACACTGCCAAGGATGGGGCGCTCACAGCTTGCCTGACCATTCTGTTCCAGTGTCTTACCACCCTCACAGTGAAGAATTTCTTTCTAATATCTAACTTGAATCTTATATTGGTGGCAACTTGACACTTGGTGGAAGGGCCCATAGTGTGCCTCCTCTGGCTCTCTGAAGCCTTCACATCAGTCATGAATCTCCTGCATGTTCCACCCTGCTTCCAAAACAGCAGATACATGCTCACCACTCCTCCAAAGTATTTCTGTACGTAGAAGTCATTAAGAGTGTGCAGTTCAAGGTATGTGGCTCCAAGTTCCTTAGCAAGCTGAACTCCTTCAGAGGTTGTGACACAGCTCCTCCTGTCTGAAGTGCACAGTGGACAGGTGCAAGGCACTCCTGGGGAAAGTGATGTAAAAAACCATTTTGACCAAATAATGCAGAATTCTTAGATTCCTAAATAGTTTTAAAGATGCCTTACTTAGAGGAGAACAAAGAGGGAAATAAACACATAGCAATTTTACTGTAAGAAATTTGTAATTACAAAAGAAACCAAACTTCTTATTAATTAATTCAAAATACTAGTCACTCTATAAATGTCTGCATACATTAGCATTAGCATTATTTTATTGGTTTTGTTAAGGTGGAAAAATCCATCCAGATTTCTGGATGCCAGATTCAGCTTTAGCTCAATATCTTTGCTTGCTTGAGTTCTAGCCTGCAAGTGTTATCATTTATGAATGTCACCCTTAAACCTGCTGAATTATTGTGGCCAGTCCATACAGGTAATGAAAGCATACACAGTAATGAAAGAAGAAAATTTCTACTCCAAACCAACCTTTGATAGGTTGTACTTACTGCAGGATCTGATTCATTTACATGTATTTTACATATATTTTTTTTTAAAAAATAGGTACTTTAAGATTATGCCATTTAAATGTTTAAAATCTTTTAGCCACACTGGGTCAGCTTTGCTTAATAACAGTAAGAACCTGCCAGCCACGGATGTGCTTTTAAATGTTCTGTGCAT